GTGGGAGCGCCGCTGCGCTCCCAAGCGGTGCACTGTAGCAGTGTGCCACCGGGCTGGCCCCCTGACTGCAATTCTGAAACTTAAAATAAACCATCTTTAACTGCAGAGCTTATAGCCTCACGGGAAGAAGCAGACAATAAACAAGTACATGCATAAATAAGAATTTCAGTAGTGATACATGCTTTGGAAAACACACCATGATGTGCTCAAGAGCCAAGTTAAGCAGTCAGGGAGGACTTCACTGAGGAGGTGGCCTCTGAGCTGGGACCAGCTGGGAGAAGAGTGTTCGAGGATGAAAGAACAAAAGCAAACACCCCGGAAAAGAGGGAGTGCTGCAAGATGGGTCAGAGAAGTAGACAGGCCCAGATCACCAAGGGCTTCACAGTTTGGAACTCATCTAATGTTCATAGGCAAATTTTAAGCAAGGGAGTGACAAGATATGATTTTTGAAAATTAAGTTTACTAAGGTATAATTTACATACACTAAAATGTGCCCATTAGGTACACATTTTAATGAGCTTTGAAAATCTACACACCCATGTAACTACCACAATAAACAAGGTATAGAACATTTCCATCACCACCACGAAAAGTTCCTTTGTTCCCCTTCCCAGTTTCAGCTTTTACACTGATCCATTCCCGTTGTTTTTGTATATGCCACAAAAGGGTTAAGGTTCATCTCTTTCCCCATATGGATATCAAGTTGTTTCAGCACCATTTGTAGAAAAGATTATCCTTTCTCCAATGGGTTATTTTGACTTCTGGTCAAAAACAATAAATCATATATGTGTGAGTCTATTTCTAAACTCGTTATTCTGTTCCATTGATCTGTATCTCTATCCTTATGCCAATACCATACTGACCATAGTGTCTGTCTCATTTATTTTTGTATCTGCAGTGTCTGAAGTTGCCCCGATACATCAGATGCTCAATGAATTTGTCTGCTGAATGAATAAAGATCTCTCCAAAGGCAGAAATTATCATTCCAATGCTGCATAATATTAAACTGAAGAGGTACTTGATGGTGATAAATTAGCTTCAGATCATACATTCTTCAGTTGGAAAGAAAAGAGTTTTCTTAGTGCTGTAGATTTCCATACTTCCCATGGGACATGAGTGCCTTCCTGCCCTAGTAATGCCAACACATTACTCCACCAGCAGAAATCCTGTGGCTAAGGGAGATAGCCCAGGCTGCAATGGCATGGCAGATAACTTGCTATGACTTTGTAAATATCTTTCTTTACTTGGCTAAACTTGTGGTTTCTTTTTATCAGGGTGGCTGCAAAGCTGATATATTCAATACAGAATAGTTGCTAAGAGCATGGCCTCAGGTTTTAGAAAGACTGGGCCAGGATCCTGGATCTAACCACCTTTACTAGCTGTGTATTTTTGGCTAAGTACTTGCAACCAAATGCGTGTCAAGCACTTACATACTACTCAGCTTGATAAACAATTATTGGGCACAAAGTATAAAATATCTTTATTGAAATCATGTTTCTCAAGCCTATTTTTAAGTTATGTCATGCAAAAGACATACCGTGTTTTTGGATAATATATTTTATTTCATTTTTTGCTGGCCAGTACAGGGACTGAACCGCAGATCTTGGTGTTACTAGCACCACACTCTAACCAACTGAGCTAACCAGACAACCCAGTTTAATACAATATTGCCTGCCATCTCACCACAAGAAGTAATTACAAATGACTTTCAGCACTGGGTCCTTTTCAGGGACTTAGTCTGAGAGTGCATAAGCTGCCACAGTAGGCATAGGCTGCAGTGAGCATATGAGGGCAGGAGCTGGGGTCACTCATCTTTGACTCTCCGATGCCCAAGCCAGAGCAGACACCTGGCTAAATACCTTGGAAGAGAATCAGAGACAAGACAAAGGGGGAGACAGTTTCTAATAAATATGTAGTAAATACACTATAACTTTTTTTTCAGAATTAGGGGGAATGCAACACATGGAAGATCAAACTGAATTTTAAAATACATACTTCAAGAGCTGTTTTAAAACAAAGCCTAGACACTGGTTTTCTATTTTCAAGCCCATTGTTTGTGCTAGCAAGAATAAAGAGAAGGGGGGCCGAGCCCGTGGCTCACTTGGGAGAGTGCGGCGCTCCCGCCGTGGGTTCGGATCCTATATAGGGATGGCCAGTGCGCTCACTGGCTGAGCACGGTGAGGGCAACATCAAGCCAAGGGTTGCGATCCCCTTACCGGTCACAAAAAAGGACAAAAAAAAAAAAAAAAGAATAAAGAGAAGGGGATGCTACTCTGTATATTTTAATGATGTCAGTAGGCACTTTGGACTAGAAATATAGCAACTGTTTTGAAAATGCATCTAGTTCCCTTAGAGAACTTAAGATGTACAGAGACAGAAAGCTTCATTTTAATGCAAGAATTTTAGTTAAAAAAACTGGTTTCCCCCTCCTCCCTATTCTTACCCACATCCTTTTTTTGAAAAGTTACTAAGGTACAGAAAACATAATGAGTAATATATAGGTTATTTGATCAAAGTGCTTTTATTCTAAAACTGTGAACATTTACTTTTGAAAATAAAGCAATGAATTGATTAACACTAATAAATTAATAGCTTTAGTAAGAATTCACTATATTTCATATAATTCCTTTTCACATTTTTTTAAAAAGTATTTATTATGTGCTGGGCTCATGGCCAGGGATTTGAGGGGATGGGTTGTACTAAGAAGCTCAAAACACCATAGGCCATGTCCACTCACAGTCCAGCTTGAAAGAGAGAGAGAATTTTTGTTATGTTCTCCGGGTGCTGTGGGCTGCAGATGGGGGGTGGGGCGGTAGGCAGAAGGGGCACTGGACAGCCTGGTGACACGTAGAGATGATGTTTGTTGAATGCCTACTCAGCATCCATCCCCTCTTCAACCTTTTCCTTTCTACAAATCCCACAACTCACGGAGGGTCTAGTCCTTCTAACCTTCCCACTGCACTTGCAGCCTGAGCCAAACTTCTGACAGTCCTCCCTGGCATATGATTTTGCCCTTTTCAGTTTCATGTTGAGGAAACTTCATCTCAATTACAAGGAGAGTTCCTGGGTGGC